GACGCAGTGCGGAGGTTGACTGCGACGAGTCAACTTCTGTCGCTGCGCCGCATCGTCTTCCGACAGCGTGCGGGATTCGTGACGAGGGGAAGTTTGAATTCCGTCCTGGAAATACTGTCGGACCTCCCACCGAGCCACGACTCTTCGTTTGGGGTGAAAGGGAGTGGGCACGTGCTTAGTATCCCGCTTTTGGACTAGCTCCCGACGCCACACGCTGCACAATTCCGAATCTGACGTGGACGACCTTAATCGCGTGGCCCTTTCCTTGTGCTCGTCCTCATTCCGCGCTCCGAGGCGGTAATGGAATCCCTTTGATCGGTAGTGATCGAAGCGTTGGCAATCACTACACAGAGTGTTGGGCCAATGAGGTGCTACTGCCGACCACGGGACGACGATCAACTCGTTGAATGGTTATAGTAACGAGTACGGCGGAAAATGTGTATCGATAATGTCAAACCCAGCGGCGACAAACCCAGAACACCGATTTTCAGGAGGGAACTAATATCGCCCACCGATCTTTGCGACGGCTTCTCGTACGTCCCACTCACACGCACGCGTCCTTTCCTCGTTATGCGGGAAGGGGCGAGGTGGGGATACCGGAGACCGGTGCCTAGTCGGGTTGAGCCCGTCAGTCCACATGGCAATCAATCAGGCGCCAAAAAATATATCCTCAATCATTCATCGTAAATCCAGAGCCTAGAAATACATAACTTTATCGATCAACCAAAAAGACAGCGTCAAAAAAAATCCAAGAAGGAAATGAAGAAGGGAAGGAAATTTCAGAGAGAGAGGGAGAGACAAAAACTCGTGTATGGTGGGGTGCGGCCACTATTACGTGTATCGGTCGCACGTGGTTTTGAAATCCCTCATTATTTTACGAGGGTATGCTGCATGTGTTGCGCAGTATAAGGCAGATGGCATATGCAGTGTGTCCCGAATCACAACATCAACGGATCCAAACACCCTTGCATCCTCGAACAGAATCCCAACAGCATTGCCTCTGTAATCGACTCGTCGGATAGTGTCATAATCAAAACGAGTTTCGTGCCCGTGTGCATACATTCACTGTGGAAGGTGCGAAAGGCGGCCGTCATGCAATGCTCCTTCCCTATTGTGCCAAAAACAAGTAATCACAATCCCTTTTGATGGTTGTTACACACGCATCCACCGTTCACAAGACAAGGTGATCAAATCTCAGCAAGTATGGGGATTACCCAGGAAACTAATGGAAGAGTTCCGGAAGAAGTTCTTCCGAGCATATATTCGCAAGTGCTTATTCCATCACAAACCGAAAGATCGATTCTCATACACGATTATTAACATCAGTGAGAGAAGAGAAGGAGTGAGAGAGAGAGAAAGAGAGAGAGAGAGAGAGAGAGAGAGAGAGAGACGCGAGAATATCACGCAAGGAGGGAGAGAACACACTGGGAATGCAAGAGAGGGTCCGACTTTACCGTTGTGAGCTCACACCGAAGAATGGATTCGCAACAAGGGGGCGTACTCGCCGTCAAATTCCAACATGGCCCCGGGCCAATCATCCACTCAACTCAAATCACTCATCTTCATTCGTGCACCGACGATCCCGACCGTCGCGTGTCACCATCCAATACTGCGATCGTCACCCCGCTACTCTAGCCTCGACGTGGCTTGCCCGGATCCCACAGTTCGTCGCGGCGATCTAGCGCACAGCCAACCAGTCTACAATCGGCTCATCAGGACTGTCCGACTCGCCCTATACACTTATCATCTAGCCACTGCTTCCCGGAAGCTGGATGACGAGTTGAGAGAGAGATTTGCGGGGGCGCTGACGGAATTTATAGTTGCGAGAAGGGAGAGCGACGCGGGAAGGATGAAGAGTGAGGTAGAGGAGGGTAAAGGAGGGCTTACGAAGTTGAGAGTAATCGCCCGTCGAAAGCCATATTGATCCCTCTCAACTCGATCCCAGCCAATCAGAATCGTCGCGCAGTAAGAATTTACATGGCGCTTCTCCTTGGCTAGATGGGGAGAGAGGATCGACTGGGTTTTTTAGCGCGAATCTTAGAGTGGGAAGATGAGTAGTGTGAAGGATAGCGCGAAACGGGTCCAAGATTCAGATAATCAAGAAAGAGAAAAAGAGTGCGCGCTGGGAAGGAGAGGGAAAAGCAGTTACAGGGGAAGGGAGTGAGAAAGCATGTGCGCGTGAAGGGAGGCGTCGAGAGGGGCACAGGGACTCAGGGAGGAAGGAGGAGGGAGCTTGCTTGCATGGCGCCGGTCGGCAAAAGGAGAATGAACAAGCATTTCGTCAAAACGGACATATTATATTTTTTGAACGAAATCAAAACTGACTTTTTTTGCCAAAATCCGGTCGGAATTTTTTGCTCCTGAGGGTCCGGCGTTCCCAAAACGCCGGACCACCTGCATGTATCTGGTCTATGGTTGAGACCAGATTTAAAAAAAAAAAATAATAATAATAATAATAATAATAATAATTTTTTTTTTTTTTTTTTTT